ATGGAGAGCAGTGTGGTGTGATCTCAGCTCACTGCAGCCTCATCCTCCTGGGCTCAAGAGATTCTCCCCCCTCAGCCTCCCAAGTAGCTAGCACCAGAGTGTGTGCCGTTACACACAGCTGATTTTTTAAAGTGTTACTGTTTGGGAGACAGTCTCTCTGATGCCTAGGCTTGGAGTGCAATGGTGTGGTCTTGGCTCACTGCCACCTCTGTCTCCCGGGTTCAAGCGACTCTCCTGCCTCAGCCTCCTGAGTAGCTGGGACCACAGGCCCGTGCCACCACGCCTGGCCAATTTTTTAGTAGAGACGGGGTTTCTCCATGTTATCCAGGATGGTCTCGATCTCTTGACCTCGTGATCCACCCGCCTCGGCCTCCCAAAGTGCTGGGATTACAGGGTGAGCCACCGCGCCCGGCCTCTAAACACTTTTTTAAAAAGAGTTGAGGGTTAGGCTGGGTGGATCACGAGGTCAAGAGATCGAGACCATCCTGGTCAACATGGTGAAACCCCGTCTCTATTAAAAATACAAAAAATTAGCTGGGCACGGTGGCGCGTGCCTGTAATCCCAGCTACTCGGGAGGCTGAGGCAGGAGAATTGCCTGAACCCGGGAGACGGAGGATGCGGTGAGCCGAGATCGCACCATTGCACTCCAGCCTGGGTAACAAGAGCGAAACTCCGTCTCAAAAAAAAAAAAGAGTTGGGGGTCTTGCTTTGCTGCCCAGGCTGGTGGTTTGAAACTCCTAAGCCCTGGAGGTGCTCCTGCCTCACCCTCCCACAGTGATTTCAGGCGTGAGGCACCATGCCCGGCCGGCCTGAGTCAGCCCTTCTCAGTCTCTCTAGGTTTTGTCCTCAGCCTGGGTGGTTCCTGGGTTGTTCCAAAGGCTCAGCCCTTCCCCGTCATGGTCCAGTGTCCTTTTGAAGCAGCCTGTATCCCGAGTGGGTTGATGCACGGAAGAATAGTCTGAGGTTCTCAGGGGCTCCAGGAACTCACCCAAGGTCACCGTGCCAGCAGCGGGTGCCAGCCCAGGCCTGGCTGACACTGCCACGACGCTAGACGCTGGGTCCCTTCCAGCCTTTGGCTCTCGCAGACCGAGCTCCTGTGAACATCTTGGTACAAATTGTTTTTTAATGTTTTTTTTTTTTTTCTCTTCCTTTTGGACAATTTCCTCGGGATCAATTCCCTGAAGTGGAACGGCTGGGTCGCCTGCAGGTGTGGTGTTAATAGCTGTCCCCTGGAGGAGCCATCCAGAAAGGAGAAGCCAGCTTTCCTCGGCTCCTGAAACAGCTCTGCCGGCCCTGCCGGGGACGGGGCTCGCGGGGTTTCGGTGCTGACTTTGGGGAGTCCCTCCAGCCCCTCAGCATGTCCTCCAAAAGGGTGTGGGGACCCCGGCCATGATGGGGAGGGGCTGGGTCTGGGGTGCGGATAAGACCTCAAGAACGAAGAAGGTTGACTTGATCAGGGGTGGGGAGGGGTCCCCTCAGGGGTGGGTTTTTGTTTGTTTGTTTGTTTGAGTCTCGCTCTGTCGCCAGGCTGGAGTGCAGGGGTGTGATCTCGGCTCACTGCAGCCTCCACCTCCTGGGTGCAAGTGATTCTCCTGCCTCAGCCTCCCAGGCAGTCGGGATTACAGGTGCGCACCACCACCTCCAGCTTATTTTTTATGTTTTTAGTAGGAACGGGGTTTCACCATGTTGGTCAGGCTGGCCTCGCTCTCTTGACCTCGTGATCCACCTGCCTCTGCCTCCCAAAGTTCTGGGATTACAGGTGTGAGCCACTGTGCCTGGCTCCCCCCCCCCCGCCCCGCCCAGAGACGGGGTTTCTCCATGTTGGTCAGGCTGGTCTCGAACTCCTGACCTCAGATGCCCACTCAGCCTCCCAAAGTGCTGGGATTGCAGGCGTGAGCCACCGCACCCGGCCTTGTTTTGTTTTGGTTTTTGAGATGGAATCCCCACTCTGTCCCCCAGGCCAGAGTGTAGTGGCATGATCTTGGCTCACTGCAACCTCCGCCTCCCCAGTTCAATTTTCCTGCCTCAGCCTCCAGAGTAGCTGGGATTACAGGCAGGCGCCACCATGCCCGGCTAATTTTTTGCATTTTTAGTAGAGACGGGGTTTCACCATGTTGCCCAGGATGGTCTTGATCTCTTGACCTCATGATCCACCCGCCTCGGCCTCCCAAAGTGCTGGGATTACAGGCGTGAGCCACCGCGCCCGGCTGGTTTTTTTCTTCTTTATTAGGGAATTTCCACTTAACCATTTTAAAATCTGTGAATTGGTGTCATTAAGCCCATTCATGCTGTTGTACGTTCCCCAGACAGAAACCACACCTCAGACGCACCCACTCCGCATCCCTCCAACCCCCCCAGCACCCATGCATCCCCTTCCTACCTCTCTGGATTGGCCTGTCGTGGACCTTTCATAGAAACGGGCGAGGTGGCTTTTAACGCCTATAAGGAGCACTCAGGGAGACTGAGGCAGGCGGATCACCTGAGGTCAGGGGGGTTCAAGACCAGCCTGGCCAACATGGTGAAACCCCGTCTCTACTAAAAATACAAAAATTAGCCAGACGTGGTGGTGGGCACCTGTCATCCCAGCTACTCAGCAGGCTGAGGCAGGAGAATCTCTTGAACCCCGGAGGCGGACGTTGCAGTCCAGGCTGGGAGACAGAGCGAGACTCTGTCTTGGAAAATAAATGAATGGCGTCTGTCACTGAGCGTGACATCTGCAGGGGTACCTGCGCCGTGGCCTGGGTCAGAGCCTGGCTCCTTTTCGTGGCCGAGTCGTGTTCCACGTGGAGGGGTGGAGTGTTCGTCCTTTCTTTCCTCCAGTGACGGGCAGCTGCGCTGGCTCCGCCTTTTGGCTGCTGTGACTCGAGCTGTGTCAACACTGTGGCGTGGGGTTCTGTCCACGTCCTTGTTCTCATTTCTTCGGGTGTACACGCAGGAGGGAAGCGCTGGTAATTTTATGTGTCTTGAAGGAGCCACCAGTGTTCGCTCGGAGTGGTTTTGATCTGCATTTTCTCCATAGCGGAAGAGCCGGGCACCTGTCCATGTGGCCATGTGCTGAGTCTCTGTGACCTCCTGTGTGGACCGGCGCTCACAGCACCGTGCCTGGCCCGCCGTCTCTGTCCCTGAATGGACGGGCCCTTTTCTGCCGGAGCTTCCCCGGGGGAGTTTTGGGATCAGCCTTGGGGACTTGGACTCTGGCCGGGGGTGTCTGGGAGTGGAAATGACATCTGGTCTCTTGTCCACAAGTATTTATCGTATGGAACCTCCCAATAGTGCCAAGTCCCACTCGGCCCTTCCCTCGTGGGACCAGCCCCGTCTCTGCTGGGGCTTCACTCTTCCTGCTGGGACACCCCACTTCCTCCTCTCACCTCCTGTGTGGACCCCACTTCCTCCTCTCTCCTCCTGTGTGAACCCCACTTCATCCTCTCTCCTCCTGTGTGGACCCCACTTCCTCCTCTCTCCTCCTGTGTGAACCCCACTTCCTCCTCTCACCTCCTGTGTGAACCCCACTTCCTCCTCTCACCTCCTGTATGGACCCCACTTCCTCCTGTCTCCTCCTGCATGGACCCCACTTCCTCCTCTCCTATATGAACCCCACTTCCTCCTCTCCTATATGAACCCCACTTCCTCCTCCTATATGAACCCCACTTCCTCCTCTCCTATATGAACCCCACTTCCTCCTCTCTCCTGTATGAACCCCACTTCCTCTCACCTCCTGCATGGACCCCACTTCCTCCTCTCACCTCCTGCATGGACCCCACTTCATCCTCTCACGTCCTGCATGGACCCCACTTCCTCCTCTCACTTCCTGTGTGGACCCCACTTCCTCCTCTCACCTCCTGCATGAACCCCACTTCCCCCTCTCACCTCTTCCATGAACCCCACTTCCTCCTCTCTCCTCCTGTATGGACCTCACTTCCTCTGGAGATGCAGCCTGTGCTCCCCTGGCTCAGCCTCCTGTTGCCCCGGTGGAGGCTTCCACCTCTCAGTAAGGCGTTTGGGGCCCTCACCTCCCAGCGTGAGCTGAGCACAATTTGGTTCCCACACTGGCTACCCGCCCCTGCCCTCTGTGCCTGCTGCCCTGCCGCCCCGGCGCCCGTCTGCTCTCCACACCCCGGCCTCTCTCTGCTGGTCCGCTGTCCTGTCTGAGTACATTTTAACGGCAGCCTCTGCTGGGCACATCGTCCCTCTCTGGTCATGTGAAGCATTTCATCTATTTTGAGCTACCTCTTAGGCCTTGTGAGGTCTCCAGCATTTTCAAGGACACGGGGTCAGAGCTGGGCCCGAGGGAGGGACCTGGGTTGGGGCTGCGCAGTGGCGTTGGGCTTTTGGGGCTGGGTGGCCTTCCTGGGCTAGGAGCGTGGTCCCTAGGGAGGAGGGCCCGGGGCCAGTCCCGCAGGCACCTGAGAGCTTGAAGTGTGGGTTCCCCTGGCCCCCTAGGGAGAAGGGCCCGGGGCTGGTCCCGCAGGCGCCTGAGAGCTTGAGGTGTGGGTTCCCCTGGCTCCCTAGGGAGAAGGGCCCGGGGCCGGTCCCGCAGGCACCTGAGAGCTTGAAGTGTGGGTTCCCCTGACCCCCTAGGGAGGAGGGCCCGGGGCCGGTCCCGCAGGCACCTGAGAGCTTGAAGTGTGGGTTCCCCTGACCCCCTAGGGAGGAGGGCCCGGGGCCGGTCCCGCAGGCACCTGAGAGCTTGAAGTGTGGGTTCCCCTGGCCCCCTAGGGAGAAGGGCCCGGGGCTGGTCCCGCAGGCGCCTGAGAGCTTGAGGTGTGGGTTCCCCTGGCTCTGTAGGGAGGAGGGCCCGGGGCTGGTCCCGCAGGCGCCTGAGAGCTTGAAGTGTGGGTTCCCCTGGCTCTGTAGGGAGGAGGGCCCGGGGCCGGTCCCGCAGGCGCCTGAGAGCTTGAAGTGTGGGTTCCCCTGGCCCCCTAGGGAGGAGGGCCCCGGCTGGTCCTTCAGGCGCCCGGGGGAGGCACTGGCCTGAGGTGTGGGCGCCCCTCGCCCCCAGGTTCTACTGGGACTTCACCATGCTGCTGTTCATGGTGGGGAACCTCATCATCATCCCGGTGGGCATCACCTTCTTCAAGGACGAGACCACCGCCCCGTGGATCGTGTTCAACGTGGTCTCGGACACCTTCTTCCTCATGGACCTGGTGCTGAACTTCCGCACGGGCATCGTGATCGAGGACAACACGGAGATCATCCTGGACCCCGAGAAGATCAAGAAGAAATACCTGCGCACGTGGTTCGTGGTGGACTTCGTGTCCTCCATCCCCGTGGACTACATCTTCCTCATCGTGGAGAAGGGCATCGACTCCGAGGTCTACAAGACGGCACGCGCCCTGCGCATCGTGCGCTTCACCAAGATCCTCAGCCTCCTGCGGCTGCTGCGCCTGTCGCGCCTGATCCGCTACATCCACCAGTGGGAGGAGGTGAGGCGGGGTGGGGGCGGGGCCAAAGCAGCAGGGGCGGGGCCGTGAGGGTGATGGGGGCGGGGTCAAGCCAGCAGGGGCGGGGCTATAAGGTTCTGGGGTGGGGCTACAATGGCACATGGATGGGGCCAAGGCAGGGGCAGGGTTATGAGGGTGTTGGGGTGGGACTACGAGGGTGCAGGGGCGGGACCAAGGCGGCCAGGGCGGGGCTATGAGGGTGCAGGGGCGGGACCAAGGCGGCCAGGGCGGGGCTATGAGGGTACAGGGGCAGAGCTGCAGTGGTGCAGGGGTGGGGCCAAGGCAACGGGTGGTACTGGGGCAGCGTCAAGGCAGCAGAGGCGGGGCTATGAGGGTTCTGGGGTGGGGCTACCATGGTGCATGGGTGGGGCTTAGGCAGGGTGGGGCTATAAGGTTGCTGGGGTGGGGCTACCATGGTGGGACCAAGGCAGCAGGGGCGGGGCTATGAGGGTTCTGGGGTGGGGCTACCATGGTGCAGGGTGAGGCCAAGGCAGCAGGGTGGGGCTATGAGGTTGCTGGGGCGGGGCTACCATGATGCAGTGCAGGGTCAAGGCAGCAGGATGGGGCTATAAGAGCTCTGGGATGGGGGCCAAGGTAGCAGGGGCGGGGCTATGAGGATGCTGGGGCGGAGTCAAGCAGTAGGGGTGGGGCTTAGGGGTGCTGGGTGTGGCCGAGTCCGCAGCGGTAGAGCTATGGCAATGGGACCAAGACCACGAGGGGCTGCAGAGGCCAGGTGGTGGATGAGATTCCCGACCATGGCTGCAGAGGTAGGGCTATGAGAGGTGCGGGCTGGGCTGTGGCTTTAGGGGTGAGGCAGTGAGGGTACTGCAGGGGTAGGGCCTAGCCGCAGGGCCAGGGGCAGGGCGGTGGATGGGAGGCAAGGCCCTAGCTGCAGAGGTGGGGCGATGATGGGGGGGTGGGGCCACAGCCATGGGGGTGCGGCTTTGGCTACAAGGGCGGGGCCGCACGGGGCCATGGGGGCAGAGTAGGCGGAGCCAAGAGTGGGGTCCTGGAGGGTGGAGCAGGGACCCTTGGACACATGCATGTCAATTTTATTCGTTCTGCCTTGTTTGAGCATTGGGGAAACTGAGATTCCCCTATGGCAGTGGGGAAACTGAGGCCAGAGCAGCAAAGCTAAGCCACCCCGCTTCTTCCTCCCCCTAAGTCCAGACCCCACCTCGATCCTGTCCCTGGACTAAGTCTACCACTCGTGGCCACCAGCAGGGGCCTGGCAACTGTCCCCCGTCTTCCAGGACACTGTGGGAGGCGGGCTGGGGGCTGGGGCCACGGTCCTGGGAGCTCTGGAAAACGGATAAGGGGAAGGTGTGGATTTTGGTGGTGATCCTGAGCCGGGGCCGTGGATTTGAGGGGGTTTCTGGGGCGGGGCCGTGGATTTGGGCAGCAGGGATCCTGGGGCGGGGACGCAGGGTGGGGTGGGGGGGTCTGGGGTGGGGGTGGTGGCTTTGGGTGGAAGTCTTGGGGGGGCCGTGGAGTGGGGCTGGGGTCCTGGGGTGGGGACCGTGGATTTGGGGGGCGGGGCCGGGAGCTCCCACAGTGGGGGCACGTGGGACTGGGGCGCTGAGGCAGCGGGAGAGGGTGGGCTTGCGGCAGGCAGGTGGGCTCACGGCGCCTCCCCGCAGATCTTCCACATGACCTATGACCTGGCCAGCGCGGTCATGCGCATCTGCAACCTCATCAGCATGATGCTGCTGCTGTGCCACTGGGACGGCTGCCTGCAGTTCCTGGTGCCCATGCTGCAGGACTTCCCGCGGAACTGCTGGGTGTCCATCAACGGCATGGTGGTGAGCGCGGGGCCGGCGGGGGTCCCGGGCCCCTTATCCCACTTAGGAGGACCCAGGCCCGTTTACAGAGGGGGAGACCCAGGCCCCTTTACAGATGGGGAGACCCAGGCCCCCTTATCCCCCTTACAGAGGGGGAGACCCAGGTCCCCTTATCCCCCTTACAGATGGGGAGACCCAGGCCCCCTTATCCCACTTACAGAGGGGTAAACCCAGGCCTCCTTACAGAGGGGGAGACCCAGGCCCCCTTATCCCCCTTACAGAGGGGGAAACCCAGGCCTCCTTACAGATGGGGAGACCCAGGTCCCCTTATCCCCCTTACAGATGGGGAGACCCAGGCCCCCCTTATCCCCCTTACAGAGGGGGAGACCCAGGCCCCCTTATCCCCCTTACAGAGGGGGAAACCCAGGCCTCCTTACAGAGGGGGAGACCCAGGTCCCCTTATCCCCCTTACAGATGGGGAGACCCAGGCCCCCTTATCCCCCTTACAGAGGGGGAGACCCAGGCCCCCTTATCCCCCTTACAGAGGGGGAAACCCAGGCCTCCTTACAGAGGGGGAGACCCAGGCCCCCTTATCCCCCTTACAGAGGGGGAAACCCAGGCCTCCTTACAGAGGGGGAAACCCAGGCCTCCTTACAGAGGGGGAGACCCAGGCCCCTTTACAGAGGGGGAGACCCAGGCCCCCTTACAGAGGCAGGGACAAGACCTCCCTTACAGATGGGAGGACCCAGAACTGCAATTCCCGCAGGCCCCATGAGTGCCCTTGGGGCTGAAACAGCCACTTTGAGCCTTTCAGGCCCGGGGCGGGGAGGGGGGGGTCCACGGAGAGAAGCTGAGTGTGATCATGGCTTTTTCTGTCACCCAGACATCTGCTTAGGGCTTTTTTTGTGCTTTTTGGGTTTCTTTTGCAGGGTGGGGGGGTAGCGGGGGGGAGGGGCGGGGCGGAGTCTCCCTCTGTTGCCCAGCTGGAGTGCAGTGGCACGATCTTGGCTCACTGCAAACTCCACCTCCCTGATTCCAGTGATTCTTTCACCTCAGTCTCCTGGGATTACAGGTGCCTGGTACCACACCTAATTTTTGTACTTTTAATAGAGACGGGTTTCACCAGGTTGGCCAGGCTGGTCTCGAACTCCTGACCTCAGGTGATCTGCTGGCCTCAGCCTCCCAAAGTGATGAGACTACAGGGGTGAGCCACCTCGCCCAGTCTAATTTGCATACGCTTATTTAAAATAATAATTTAAGAGCCAGGCATGGTGGTGCTCGCCTGTGGTCCCTGCTGCTCAGGAGACTGAGGGGGTTGGATCCTTTGAGTGCAGAAGTTTAGGCTGCAATGAGCCCTGATTGCACCACTGCTCTCCAGCCTGGGCAACAGAGCAAGACCCAATCTCTAACAACTAAAGAAACATTTACATCACAGCCCTGAAATGGGAAAGTGGTATCACATGCCAAGGGCATAATACAAGGACTGGGCACAGTGGCCACGGCTGTGATCCCAGCACTTTGGGAAGCCGAGGGGGGCAGATCATGAGGTAAAGAGTTCAAGAGCAGCCTGGCCAGCACAGTGAAACCCCATCTCTACTAAAAATAAAATTAACCGACCATGGTAATCCCAGCTACCCTGGAGGTTGAGGTGGGATAACTGCTTGAACCTGGGAGATGGAGGTTGCAGTGAGCCAAGACCACCACTGCACTCCACCCTGGACAACAGAGCGAGACTTCATCTCAAAAACAAACCCCCCAAAACACAAAATTCAGGCAGGCATGGTGGCGTGAGCCTATAATTCCAGCTGCTCGAGAGGCTGAGGCAGGAGAATTGCTTGAACCTAGGAGGTGGAGGCTCCGGTGAGCGGAGATTGCACCATCGCACTCCAGCCTGGGTGACAGAGCCAGACTGCCTCAAAAGAAAGAAACAGGCCAGGCACAGTGGTTCACGCCTGTAATCCCAGCGCTTTGGGAGGCCGAGGCGGGTGGATCACGAGGTCAAGAGATCGAGACCATCCTGGTCAACATGGTGAAACCCCGTCTCTACTAAAAATACAAAAATTAGCTGGGCACGGTGGTGTGTGCCTGTAATCCCAGCTACTCGGGAGGCTGAGGCAGGAGAATTGCCTGAACCCAGGAGGCAGAGGTTGCGGTGAGCCGAGATCGCGCCATTGCATTCCAGCCTGGGTGACAAGAGCGAAATGCCATCTCAAAAAAAAAAAAAAATACAAAATTTAGCCGGGCTTGGTGGCTCACACCTGTAATCCCAGCTACTCGGGAGACTGAGACGGGAGAATTGCTTGAAGCTGGAGACAGAGGTCGCAGTGAGCCAGGATCAGGCCACCGCACTCCAGCTGGGCGACAGAATGAGACTCTGTCTCAGAAAATAATACATACATAAACAAACGAGAGAAACAGGAATAATACATGAAGGCGGGCCCAGATGCCCCCTGCTTCTCAGCTGAGATGTGCTGGCTGGTAAGAGCAGTTACAGGAGCCGGCGGGTGTTACAGTCAGGTTAGCGCCCAGTGAGCCTCTGTCCCCGCCTGGGGACTGCTGCGCCCCAGCCTCCGGCCACATATGGGACCTGGGATGTGTTTAGTTTCGACACGGAGCAGGTGGGCATTGACGGGGTCAGAGCTGCAGAGGGGAACCCGCCAGCGCCCCTCCCGGAGCCTGGCACAGCTGCCCAGGCTGAGTCGGCTCATTGTGTGGCTCTCACCCGCACATGTGGTCCCATTTCCTGAACGGGGCCCCACGGCCCCCCTTCCCCGGGCGGGTCAACTGAGGGCTCAGTGGGGCAGGACCTCCTGGGCCGACCTGCTGCCTCTGCCCACCCTGCCCCTCTGGTCTGGCTCAGGTGCCCCCTGGAACTTTGAGGTCCTCTTCACCTCACAGATGTTTCGGTATCAGAGGCCGTGAGGTCCAGACTCGCCCTTGGGGCCTCAGTTTCCCCAGGAGTGAAGTGGGCAGGGAGCATCAGCCCCGGCCCTACCACCGACCCGCCATGACCAGTGTGCAAACCATGTCATCTGCCTGGGTCTCCGGTTCTGTTGGTTACCTCTGAGGATGGAGAGCTCACCACCTCCATTGCCTGGGAGAGGACGGGCGGTGGGCTCTCGGGGACGGGGGTCCCGTGGGCAGGGAGCAGCCGCCCACTGCCGCCCTTCCTGGTGCCCCTGCAGAACCACTCGTGGAGCGAGCTGTACTCCTTTGCGCTCTTCAAGGCCATGAGCCACATGCTGTGCATCGGGTACGGCCGGCAGGCGCCTGAGAGCATGACAGACATCTGGCTGACCATGCTCAGCATGATCGTGGGCGCCACCTGCTACGCCATGTTCATCGGCCACGCCACTGCCCTCATCCAGTCGCTGGACTCTTCACGGCGCCAGTACCAGGAAAAGGTCTGAGAAAGGCGGGCACTGGCCTGGGGTCTGAGGGGAGAGGGAGGTCCCGCCCTGGGGTCTGAGGGGAGAGGCAGGTCCCGCCCTGGGGTCTGAGTGGGGAGGCAGGTCCCGCCCTGGGGTCTGAGGGGAGAGGGAGGTCCCGCCCTGGGGTCTGAGGGGAGAGGCAGGTCCCGCCCTGGGGTCTGAGGGGAGAGGCAGGTCCCGCCCTGGGGTCTGAGTGGGGAGGCAGGTCCTGCCCTGGGGTCTGAGGGGAGAGGCAGGTCCCACCCTGGGGTCTGAGAGGGGAAGGCAGGTCCCCGTCCTGGGGTCTGAGGGGAGAGGGAGGTCCCGCCCTGGGGTCTGAGAGGGGAGGCAGGTCCCACCCTGGGGTCTGAGGGGAGAGGGAGGTCCCGCCCTGGGGTCTGAGGGGAGAGGCAGGTCCCGCCCTGGGGTCTGAGAGGGGAGGCAGGTCCCGCCCTGGGGTCTGAGGGGAGAGGGAGGTCCCGCCCTGGGGTCTGAGGGGAGAGGCAGGTCCCGCCCTGGGGTCTGAGGGGAAAGGCACCCAGCCCTGGGGTCTGAGTGGGGAGGCAGGCCTAGCCCTGGGGTCTGAGAGGGAGGCAGGTCCCACCCTGGGGTCTGAGACAGGAGGCACATCCGGCCCTGGGGTCTGACTGGGGAGGCAGGCCTAGCCCTGGGGTCTGAGACGGGAGGCAGGTCCCGCCCTGGGATCTGAGACGGGAGGCAGGTCCCGCCCTGGGGTCTGAGACGGGAGGCAGGTCCCGCCCTGGGGTCTGAGACGGGAGGCAGGTCCCGCCCTGGGGTCTGAGACGTGGGGGCAGGTCCCGCTCTGGGTCTGAGACGTGGGGGCAGGTCCCGCCCTGGGGTCTGAGACGGGAGGCAGGTCCCGCTCTGGGGTCTGAAACGGGAAGCAGGTCCCACCCTGGGGTCTGAGAGGGGAGGCAGAGTTGGCCCTCCATCAGCTACAAGTGGCATACTCAGGGCAGAGGCAACATGGTGGGGAGTGGGGATCCTAGGGGGTCTGTGGCTGCGGTTAGGAGGAGGAACCCAAACCCCCTGCAAATGGTGGGCTGAGCCTATGAAGGGGGTCTGATGGGGGAGGCAGATCTCGCCCTTGGGGTCTCAGTTTCCCCAGGAGTGGAAACTGAGGGAGGTCTGAAGCCTGGAGATGGGTGTGGGGGAGGAGCTGGGGAAGGGACGCAGGCTGGGCAGGAAGAGGCTGAGTTGGGGTCAGGGCAGGGCCAGTCCTGGGGCAGAAGATGGTGCTGGGGACGTGGAGCCAGAGCAGCAGAGACGGGCGTTGCAGGAGGGGGCCCACCTGGGGCGTCTCTAGGCTGGCTCAGGATGGAGCTGGAGTGGGGAAGGGGCCTGGTGGGGTCTGAGAGGTTTGGGGTCACTTGAGGACACTCCAGTGGCCGGTAGTTGGGGCCAGGCTTCAGGGAGAGCGGGGCTGCCCTGCCGCGGCCTCTGGCCTGCAGTGACCACCGGGCTAATCCTGGTCTCTGCCGTGGCGGGTGGATGGAGATGGGGATTGGGCCCATAGCGGCAGGCCTCTGGAGTTGGGCCTTGTGCGCCTCTCTGTGCCTCAGTTTCCCTCTGTGAAGCGGCCCTGTCTGTCCAGCACTTGGCCCGGCTGGCTGGTCCTGGCTGGGAGCCACGTGCCCCCCTTGGTGGTGGCTGGCAGGGTCAGCCGGGTCAGCTGGGCCCTGTGCCAGTCGCCCGGCTGTCCGGAAGCCACAGGCCTCACACCCAAACATAAGCTGGTGCCACCACCCGCCCGCCGTCACGGGGTCCGCTGAGCTCAGGGCAGCTGCAGCCGGGCGGCAGTGGGTCGGAAGTGAGGCTGGAGCCCCCGGGTGGCACCGTCCTGGGGACGGCAGGGCCTGGCACCCCCACCCGGCCTGCTCGGGAGGGGCTGACCCGAAGGTTTCTAGAAAGATCATCAGGGAAGGGGGTGGGAGCACCTGCAGAGTTGGAGGCCCTGAGAAATGCGTTCTGTGAGTCAGGATGCCTGGTCCCTCCTCTCAGAGAGTCAGGCGCCCACCCATTCCTCAGGGGTGGGGTTGCCAGGTAACCTTCAGGACACCAGGCTGGGCACGGTGGCTCCCGCCTGTCATCTCAGCACTTGGGGAGGCCGACATGAGCAGATCACTTGAGATCAGGAGTTCAAGACCAGCCTGGCCAACATCTCTACGAAAAATCAAAAAATTGGCCGGGCATGGTGGCACGCACCTGTAATCCCTGCTACTCAGGAGACTGAGGTGGGAGAATCGCTTATGTCTGGAGGCTAAAAAGAATTTTAAAAAATTGAGGACACGTAGTTACCTATGGACTTCAGAGAAACATCAAATGAAAAACTCAGGAACTCAGGACACCTAGTTACAAATTTCAGAGACACATTGAATTAATTTTCTTAGTGTATTTCAAATGTTATAAGGGATATACTTACACTAAACATCGTTCTAATTTTTCTGCAATCCAACTTAATTTTTATTTACTTATATATTTATTTTTTGAGATGGACTCGCCCTTTGTTTCCCAGGCTGGAGTGCAATGGCGCGATCTCGGCTCATCGCAACCTCCGCCTCCTGGGTTCAGGCAATTCTCCTGCCTCAGCCTCCTGAGTAGCTGGGACTACAGGCACGCGCCACCATGCCCAGCTAATTTTTGTATTTTTAGTAGAGATGGGGTTTCGCCATGTTGCCCAGGCTGGTCTTGAACTCCTGACCTCGTGATCCACCCGCCTGGGCCTCCCAAAGTGCTGGGATTACAGGTGTGAGCCGCCGCGCCCGGCCTGCAATTCAACTTTAAACGGAGATCCTGAACTTCATCCTCCAACCTGCCCCTGAGAATTAAATGTAATACAATTTTAGAAGTATTATTCAGGATATCAATATCAATTATTCAGAATGTTAATTAAGAATTGAATCGGCCGGGCGCGGTGGCTCACGCCTGTAATCCCAGCACTTTGGGAGGCCGAGGCGGGAGGATCACGAGGTCAAGAGATCGAGACCATCCTGGTCAATATGGTGAAACCTCGTCTCTACTAAAAGTACAGAAATTAGCCGGGCGTGGTGACACGCGCCTGTAATCCCAGCACTTTCGGAGGCCGAGGCGGGAGGATCGCTTGAGCCCAGGAGTTCAAGACCAGCCTGGGCAATACGGGAAGACCCCATCTCTACCAAAAATCAGCCAGGCGTGGTGCCGCACACCTGTGTTCCCTGTTAGGAGGCTAAGGTGGGAGGATCCCTTGAGCCAGAAGGTGGAGGCTTCCGTGAGCTGTGATTGTGCCACTGCTCTCCAGCCTGGGCAACAGAGCAAGACCCTGTCTCTGAGAAGAAAAATTGGGTTTATTGTTGAGGTGAATTCAACCACGGTTTAAATGGAAGCCTCCTTATTTGCTCTTGTTGAATCTGGCAGCCCCTGGGTTGCGGGGGAGACCTGTCTCCCTGCTGCAGGCATGGGCTGTGTCTGACCCAGCCCTGTCTCCCGTCTGTGGGCCGGGGGGCGGTGTCTGACCCACTGGCAGGTGCCCACATCTCCTGGCTGTGGCCAAGGGGCGGTGTCTGACCCACAACAGGTGCCCGTGTCCCATCTGTGGGCCGGGGGCAGTGTCTGACTCACAGCAGGTCCCTGTCTCCCAGCTGTGGGCTGGGGATGGTGTCTGACCCACGGCAGGTGCCCGCGTCTCCCTGCTGTGGCCCAGGGACGGTGTCTGACTCACAGCAGGTCCCTGTCTCCCAGCTGTGGCCCAGGGACGGTGTCTGACCCACGGCAGGTGCCCGCGTCTCCCAGCTGTGGCCCAGGGACGGTGTCTGACCCACGGCAGGTGCCCGCGTCTCCCTGCTGTGGCCCAGGGACGGTGTCTGACCCACGGCAGGTGCCCGCATCTGCCTGTTGTGGCCCAGTGACGGTGTCTGAACCACAGCAGGTGCCCGTGTCCCATCTGTGGGCCGGGGGCAGTGTCTGACTCACAGCAGGTCCCTGTCTCCCAGCTGTGGGCTGGGGATGGTGTCTGACTCACAGCAGGTCCCTGTCTCCCAGCTGTGGCCCAGGGACGGTGTCTGACCCACGGCAGGTGCCCGCGTCTGCCTGTTGTGGCCCAGGGGCGGTGTCTGACCCACGGCAGGTGCCCGCGTCTGCCTGCTGTGGCCCAGGGGCGGTGTCTGACCCACGGCAGGTGCCCGCGTCTGCCTGCTGTGGCCCAGGGGCGGTGTCTGACCCAGCCTTGCCCCTCACAGTACAAGCAGGTGGAGCAGTACATGTCCTTCCACAAGCTGCCGGCCGACTTCCGCCAGAAGATCCACGATTACTATGAGCACCGCTACCAGGGCAAGATGTTTGACGAGGACAGCATTCTGGGCGAGCTCAACGGGCCCCTGCGGGAGGTGAGGCGGGCGCCCGGCGGGCGGGCGGGCGGGAGGCGGCTTCAGGCACACGGCGGCCTCTCTCTCCTGGCACCCAGGAGCCAGTCCCAGAGGGAGGCGCGGTGCCTCGGCCATGGCAGGAGGGACTTGAGCTGGGCCTGCGGACGCACCCACCCTCCCCGCCCCAGGCACCCCTGCGTGAGCCTCTGCACCCCCAGGACCCCCAGCACCCCATCTTACTTCCCGCTGCCCTCTCAGCGTATGTGCCAGACAGGGCGGGGCACACGCACAGCATCAGGGGGAGGAAGGACCCGCACTGCTGGGCACCAGGCCCTGGGGGCACTCAGGCTGCTGAGGAGCGGGTGTAATTCCCAGCTCTGCCCCTGTAGCCTGGGTGACCCTGGGCAGGCTCCCCGGGCCATGGGAACAAACACACCCACAGGCTGAGTGGCTCAGAGCAGCAGAGCCTCAGCCTCCCTCCTCCTGGAGGCCACAGGCCCCAAATCAAGGTGTGGGTGGGGCCGAGCTCCCCACCTCCCCAAGCCCCTGGGAGGGTCCTTCCTGCCTCTCCCGCGTGCGGCCACTTCCTGATGCCCCTGCCCCTGCCCCTGCCCCTGCCCCTGCCCCTGCCCCTGCCCCGTGTGTCTCTGTCTCTCCCTGTAAATTCATCAGTCGCTGGAAAAGGCCACCCCCCATTCCTCCTGGCCTCGCCTTAACTGGGTCACACCCGCAAACACCCTGTTTGCAGATGAGGTCCCATTCACAGGACCCGGGGTCGGCCGTCAGCCTGTCTTTCTGGGAAGTGTCACCCGTGACAGGCATCAAGCTGTTACTGAGCGCCAACTGCGTCCCCTGCCACGTGCTTGGAGGTCCAGCCCTCAGGGAGGGGGCCTGGGGAGCAGGAGCCCTCGGGCACGGGGGGGGGGGGGGGGGGCCTGGGGGGGGCCTGGGGAGCAGAAGCCCCAGGGGTCCAGGCCTAAGGAGGGGGTCCCTCAGGGAGCGGGGGCCTAGGAAAGGGGGTGCTGGGGGGGCCTAGGGAGTGGGGGCCTAGGGAAGGGGGTGCTGGGGGGCCTAGGGAGTGCGGGCCTGGGGAAAGGGGTGCGGGATCCTGGGGAAGGGGGTGCTGGGGGGCCTAGGGAGCGGGGGTCTGGGGAAGGGGGTGCTGGGGGGCCTAGGGAACGGGGGCCTGGGAAGGGGGTCCTGGGGGGCCTAGGGAGCGGAGGCCTAGGGAAGGGGGTGCTGGGGGGCCTAGGGAACGGGGGCCTGGGAAGGGGGTGCTGGGGGGCCTAGGGAGCGGAGGCCTAGGGAAGGGGGTGCTGGGGGGGCCTAGGGAAGGGGGTGCTGGGGGGCCTAGGGAGTGGGGACCTGGGGAAGGGGGTGCTGGGGGGCCTAGGGAGCGGGGGCCTAGGGAAGGGCGTGCTGCGGGGGCCTAGGGAAGGGGGTGCTGGGGGCCTAGGGAGTGGGGGCCTGGGGAAGGGGGTGCTGGGGGGGCCTAGGGAGTGGGGGCCTAGGGAAGGGGGTGCGGGAGGCCCTCAGGGAGCGGGGGCCTGGAGAAGGGGGTGCTGGGGGGCCGTCGCCGGCGGCCTAGAGGTGGCGCCGCGGTCCTAGGAATGCTTCTGGGGCATTTACACGCGCGGCCTCCCAGGGGCACCCACTGTGGTTTGCTTCGCCAAAATGTTTAATTGCATTTGATGGCTCCAATCTTCATTCATTTGTGAAGACGTAACTCACAGACCGCAAAGAGCATAAAATTCAGTGGCTTTTAGTGTTAACGGAGTGGTCACCACAACCAGCTCCAGAACGTTCTCCTCAGCCCAAAAGGAGACTTGCCCGTTAGGCACCAGCCCTTCTGCCCGCCCGGCTCCTGTCTCCTCCCTGCCCCTCTCCCTCCCCCTCTCCCTCCCCCAGTCCCTGCCCCTCTCCCTCCCCCACCTCCCTGCCCCCACCCACACGCTCCACCCACAGTCCCGCCCCCAGCCCCACCCACACTCCCACCCACTCCCCGCCCACGCCACACCCACAGTCCCACCCACAGCCCCACCCCAGTCCCACCCCCACCCACAGTCCCACCCACGCCCCACTCCTGTACTACTCGGTCATTTTGATTATTTGTTTATTAATTTGTTAATTAACAAATTTATTAATTTGTTAATTTATTTGTTAATTAATAATTTGTTTGAGACGGAGTCCCACTCTGTCGCCCAGGCTGGGGTGCAGTGCTGAGATCTCGGCTCACCACAACCTCCGCCTCCAGGGTTGAAGTGATTCTCCTGCCTCAGCCTCCCAAGTAGCTGGGATTACAAGCGCCCGCCATCGCGCCTGGCTAATTTTGTATTTTTAGCAGAAATGTGGTTTCACCATGTAGGTCAGGATGGTCTCGAACTCTCCACCTCAGGTGATCCACCAGCCTCAGCCTCCCAAAGTGCTGGGATGACGCCACCGCGCCCGGCCGGTCATTTGCCTTTTAACTTAGGATCATATTTTCTGGGCACGTTTTTGATGCTGTGTCCAGTGGCTGTTTCATGTATGTTTTCTGTACACAGTAGGTGCTAAGTTCTTGCTGTATACAGGAGTTGTACCATGTGTGCCTACTATGCACAATAGGTATGTGGGATTCAGTACCTTCTTTTTTTTTTGAGACGGAGTTTCGCTCTTGTTACCCAGGCTGGAGTGCAATGGCGCGATCTCGGCTCATCGCAACCTCCGCCTCCTGGGTTCAGGCGATTCTCCTGCCTCAGCCTCCCAAGTAGCTGGGATTACAGGCACGCGCCACCATGCCCAGCTAATTTTTGTATTTTTACTAGAGACGGGGTTTCACCATGTTGACCAGGATGGTCTCGATCTCTTGACTTCGTGATCCACCTGCCTCGGCCTCCCAAGGTGCTGGGATTACAGGCTTGAGCCACTGTGCCCGGCCCGGTTTCATTTTTTTCTTTTAGATCCTTGGGGAGCCTCTGGAACTAGTGGTACAGGGTGTGAGGCAGTGTTCATGTCTGTCTGCTGTAGGGCTGAACACCCGTCTTCACCCTGTGACTCGGTGGGGCGGGGGGAGTCACTTTCACCTTAAGCTAAAATTCCAGGCTGGGCACAGTGGCTCCTGCCAGTAATCCTAGCACTTTGGGAGGCTGAGAGGGAGGATCCTTTGAGCCCAATAGGTCAAGATTGCAGTGAGCTGTGATTACGCCACTGCACTCCAGCCTGGGCAACAGAGCAAGACCCTGTCTCAAAAACAAAAAAATAGGCCAGGCGCAGTGGCTCACGCCTGTAATCCCAGCACTTTGGGAGGCTGAGGCGGGTGGATCACGAGGTCAAGAGATCGAGACCATCCCGGTCAACATGGTGAAACCCCGTCTCTACTAAAAATACAAAAATTAGCTGGGCATGGGTGGCGTGTGCCTGTAATCCCAGCTACTCGGGAGGCTGAGGCAGGAGAATTGCCTGAACCCAGGAGGCGGAGGTTGTGGTGAGCCAAGATCGCGCCATTGCACTCCAGCCTGGGTAACAAGAGCGAAACTCCGTCTCAATAAATAGGGAATTTAAAAAATTTTATTTATCAGGCCAGGTGCATGGCTCACACCTGTAACCCCAGCACTTTGGGAGGCTGAGGCGGGTAGATCACGTGAGGTCAGGAGTCTGAGACCAGCTTGGCTAAAATGGTGAAACCCCATCTCTACTAAAAACACAAAAAATTAGCTGGGAATAGTGGTGGGGGCCTGTAGTCCCAGCTACTCAGGAGGCGGAGACAGGAGAATCACTTGAACCCGCCGTGACGGAGATCACACCACGGCACTCCAGCCTGGCGACAGTGTGAGACTCTGTCTCAAAAAAAAAAATCCTGTTTGTGTCTCCCTAGGCTTAAAAAAAAAAAAAAACTTTTATTTTGATTCAGAGTGCGTGTAAGATTGGTTACTGAGGCATATTACGTGATGCTGAGGTTCGTGGGTGGGAATGATCCTGTCACTCACGCACTGAGCGCGGCCCTCAACAGCTGCGTACGGTGTTTGGGTGGTTTTTTTTCGCTTTTGAGACAAAGTCTTGCCGTGTTGCCCAGGCTGGAGTGCAATCCATGGCGGGATCTCGGCTCACTGCAACCTCCACCTCCCCGGTTCAGATGATCCTCCTGCCTCAGCCTCCCCAGGAGCTGGGATTACAGACACACGACACCACACCCAGATCTCACACACACACACACACACATATGTATATTTTTTTTAAATAAAGATGGGTTTCACCATGTTGGCCAGGCTGGTCTTGAACTCCTGACCTCAGGTGATCCGCCAGCCTTGGCCTCCAAAGTGTTTGGATTACAGGTGTGAGCCACCACGCCAGGCCCCAGATAACATATTTTTAGTAGAGACGTGGTTTCACCATGTTGGCCAGGCTGGTCTTGAATTCCTGACCTCAGGTGATCCACCCGCCTCGGCTTCCCGAAGTGTTGGGATTACAGGCCTGAGCCACCGAGCACCATCCTGCCCGGACTGTTTCTAGACTTTTATCGCAGGTATGAGCCACCGCACCCAGCCTAATTTTTGTATTTTTAGTAGAGACAGGGTGTTGTCATGTTGCCCAGGCTGGTCTTGAACTCCTGACCTCAGGTGATCCACCCACCTCAGCCTCCCAAAGTGCCAGGATTACATGTGTGAGCCACCAAGCCTGGCCTAAATTTTTTTTTTTGAGACGGAGTTTCGCTCTTGTTACCCAGGCTGGAGTGCGATGGCGCGATCTCCGCTCACCGCAACCTCCGCCTCCTGGGTTCAGGCAATTCTCCCGCCTCAGCCTCCTGAGTAGCTGCGATTACAAGGATCCACCACCAAGCCCGGCTAATTTTTGTATTTTTAGTAGAGATAGGGTTTCACCATGTTGGCCAGGCTAGTCTTGAACTCCTGACCTCAAGTGTCCACCCAGCTTGGCCTCCCAGTGTGTTGAGATTACAGGCGTGAGCCCCGGTGCTCAGCTGAACTGATGGTATTTTCACCAGGTTCATATTTGGTGTGACCATGAACAGGGAGAGAGGGCGTTTTGATAGGGAGGGGTGGTTCTGTCTAAACATGGGAACATGTGCAGGGCGGGGTGGCTCATACCTGTAATCCCAGCATTTGGGGAGGCTGAGGCGGGCGGATGACTTCAGGTCTTGAGTTCAAGACCAGCCTGGGCAACATGGTGAAACCCCGTCTGTACTACAAATCAGCCGGGCGTGATAGTGGCACCTATAATCCCAGCTACGCGGGAGGCAGGAGAGAATTACATGAACCTGGGAGGTGCTTAGGGTTAGAAAAAACAGTGGGCCGGGCTCGGTGGCTCATGCCTGTATTCCCAGCACTTTGAGGGGCTGAGGCGGGTGGATCACGAGGTCAGGAATTCGAGACCAGCCTGGCCAATATGGTGAAACCCCATCTCTACTAAAAAAAAATTCACTGGGCTTGGTGGCACGTACCTGTGGTCCCAGCTGCTCGGGAGGCTGAGGCAGGAGAATCACTTGAACCCTGGAGGTGGAGGTTGCACCGAGCTGAGATCACGCCACTGCGCTCCAGCCTGGGCGACAGAGCGAAACTCCATGTCAAAAAAAAAGAAAAAAATATTCCGAAAGGTGTGCATGTGGTAAGGGCACAGCTCAATAGCTAGTTCCTATGGTGAGCCTGGTACAACCACCGCACAGAGCTGAGGTGGAACATGGCTGTCCCCTTGCTAAGGGACCTCACTCTGACTTCCGCCTCCATTCATCTTATTACGGTCCTTGGTTTTCATGTCGATTTTTATTTCTATTTGTATTTTATTTTTATTTTTTTGAGACAGAGTCTCACTCTCGTTACCCAGGCTGGAGTGCAATGGCGCGATCTCGGCTCACCGCAACCTCCGCCTCCTGGGTTCAGGCAATTCTCCTGCCTCAGCCTCCCGAGTAGCTGGGACTACAGGCATGCGCCACCACGCCCAGCTAATTTTTTGTATTTGTAGTAGAGACGGGGTTTCACCATGTTGACCAGGATGGTCTCGATCTCTTGACCTCGTGATCCACCCGCCTCAGCCTCCCAAAGTGCTGGGATTACAGGCGTTAGCGCCACCCCCCTGCTGCGCCCTTTGCAATTGCACGTCTGCACTTGCCCCTCCACGTCCCACTCTGTTGGCTGGTGTCACCCACGGAAGGAGCAGGGAGCGTTTTCTTTCTCTCGTTCCCGGCGGCAGCAGCTCTGTCCGCTGCGGGCCGAGCCCGTGTCACAGACAAGGAAAGGGGGGCCCAAGAGGTGGGACCCCAAAGGCAGGTGAGGGGGACTCCGAGGTCTGCCTGGCCCCAGCCCCGCATCCCCCCCCACCCGCAGGAGATTGTCAACTTCAACTGCCGGAAGCTGGTGGCCTCCATGCCGCTGTTCGCCAACGCGGACCCCAACTTCGTCACGGCCATGCTGACCAAACTCAAGTTCGAGGTCTTCCAGCCGGGAGACTACATCATCCGCGAGGGCACCATCGGGAAGAAGATGTACTTCATCCAGCACGGCGTGGTCAGCGTGCTCACCAAGGGCAACAAGGAGATGAAGCTCTCCGACGGCTCCTACTTCGGGGGTGAGTGCGCGCCCCCCCCCCACCCGCGGAGCGCAGAGCCACGGGGCTGCGGGTGGGGCCGGGACCAGAGCACCCAGGAGACCAGGGTGGAAGGGCCCGCGGTGGGCGAAGTGCAGAGGCCGGGCCGCGTGCCTGGGCAGGCCGGGGGGGTCCCGCCGCTGACCACCCCCTGCCCGCCACGTGCAGAGATCTGCCTGCTGACGCGGGGCCGGCGCACGGCGAGCGTGCGGGCCGACACCTACTGCCGCCTGTATTCGCTGAGCGTGGACAACTTCAACGAGGTGCTGGAGGAGTACCCCATGATGCGGCGCGCCTTCGAGACGGTGGCCATCGACCGCCTGGACCGCATCGGTGAGCGGGAGGGGGCGTGGCCGGGGCTTCGGAGGCGTGGTCGAGGCGCCGGGCGGTGGCATGAGGTCAGGGCAGGGTGGTGGCCAATGATTGAGGGGTGTGGCTGGGGCGTGGCGCGGGGGGGAGGTGTTCAATGCCTGAGAGGCGTGGCTAAGGCCGGATGGGCGTGGCTGGGGTCAGGCTAGGGTGGTGGCCAACGCTTGAGGGGTGTGGCTGGGGCGTGGCGCGGGGGGGGTGTTCAATGCCTGAGAGGCGTGGCTAAGGCCGGATGGGCGTGGCTGGGGTCAGGCTAGGGTGGTGGCCAACGCTTGAGGGGTGTGGCTGGGGCGTGGCTGAGGCTAAGGCATGGCGGGGGGGGGGGGGGGGTGTGTTCAATGCCTGAGAGGCGTGGCTAAGGCCTGATGGGCGTGGCTGGGGTCAGCAGTGCCAGTGCCTGAGGGGCATGGTCATGGTGTGAGGGGCGTGGCTGGGGTGGCCAATGCCTGAGGGGCGTGGCTGGCGACTCCTGGGTTTCCTTTTGGTTTACTGGCTGATTTTCTGACCTGTGGTCCTGCCGGGGGTGCAGTAGGACGGGGTGAGGCCAGATAGAGAGTATTTCCTAAGGAAGGGGTGCATGGGGTGTTTGCCCTTGTGCCTAAGGCTCATTTGACAAGTATCTGCTCAGCACCTGCTGTGTGCTGGGGTGCAGAGCAGGAGGCCTGTGGACTGGTGGTCAGCTCACACGGTGGGCTCTGTGCCGGCAGGGGAGGTGGGCCCGGTGGGCTGCCCTGAGTTGGGAATGCAGTGGAGGCCAGGGTGAGTAGGTGAGGCCATGCGGACAGAGGGAAGGTGCGTTCCCAGAGTGGACACAGCGGATCCCAAGGCCCTGGGGTGGGGAGGAGGCCTAGAGTCCAGAACCAAGGAAGCCTGGAGGAATTTGGGGAGGCAGTTAGGGCCAGACCCACAGGGACCAGTGGGTGGTGAGGAGAGGTTAGACTAAATTAGGAGCCTCAGGGGTAGGGTTCTCGGTGGGTGGAGGACCTGGTCTCCTGGGGGTTGGGTGGGGGCAGCCGCAGTCTGCAGGGCAGGGAGGGGCAGGGCCCTGATGACTGGATGTAGACGGCAGGGACATGGCGGCTCACGCTGCTGCTGCAGGTGGGAATGGAAATGAAGACCACGGCTGAAATGCCGGACAGGTGTGACGGGAGGTATCAGGGAGCTCCCAGTCAACAGTGAGCAGCACTCCACAAGCGACTTGTGGACTGTACACAGTGGGCATGCAACGCATTTGAGTGTCGGGTGTTTAGGTTATACCTGGTGTATACAGCAGGCGCTCAGCACTTGCTGTGTACAGACAGGTGTTGTGGCAACAGGCCACCTGTTTCACACTGGAGACACTATATAATCAGTGTATACTGATGGTCCACATGCGTCCTTGGTGTATACTGATACATGCTCCACACACACAGCAGGCATTAAACACCTGCTTTTTGTATACAGATGCTTCGTGCATGCCGGCTGTGCATAGCAGGTGCTCAGCCTGTATACAGCAGGTACTCGGTATCCATACTGTGGGCAGGAGATGTGACATGGGTGCTTATTGTATACAGTAGGTGCTAAATAGGTGCTTGCTCTGCGCTGCAAGCACTCCATGCAGCCCGTATAGAGCAGGTGCTGTATGCAGCAGGCGCTCCCTGCGCACGTGCTGACCCCCGCCTTCGTGCAGGCAAGAAGAACTCGATCCTCCTGCACAAGGTGCAGCATGACCTCAACTCGGGCGTGTTCAACAACCAGGAGAATGCCATCATCCAGGAGATCGTCAAGTACGACCGCGAGATGGTGCAGCAGGCCGAGCTGGGCCAGCGTGTGGGCCTCTTCCCGCCGCCGCCTCCGCCGCAGGTCACCTCCGCCATCGCCACGCTGCAGCAGGCCGTGGCCATGAGCTTCTGCCCGCAGGTGGCTCGGCCACTCGTGGGGCCGCTAGCGCTCGGCTCTCCGCGCCTGGTGCGCCGTCCACCCCCAGGGCCTGCACCGGCCGCCGCCTCACCGGGGCCCCCGCCCCCCGCCGGCTCCCCAGGCGCGCCCGCCAGCCCCCGGGCACCGCGGACCTCGCCCTACGGCGGCTCACCTGCCGCCCCTCTCGCCGGGCCTGCCCTGCCTGCGCGCCGTCTGAGCCGCGCGTCGCGCCCACTGTCCGCCTCGCAGCCCTCGCTGCCCCACGGAGCGCCTGGCCCTGCAGCCTCTGCGCGCCCGGCCAGCAGCTCCACGCCACGCCTGGGGCCCACGCCCGCCGCCAGGGCCGCCGCCCCCAGCCCGGACCGCAGGGACTCGGCCTCGCCCGGCCCCGCCGGTGGCCTGGACCCCCAGGACTCCGCGCGCTCGCGCCTCTCGTCCAACTTGTGACCCTTGCCCACCGCCCCGCGCGCCCAGGCGGGCCGGGGGCGGGGCCGTCATCCAGACCAAAGCCATGCCATTGCGCTGTCCCGGCCGCCAGCCTGCCCAGAAGCCATAGACAGACGTAGGTAGCCGTAGTCGGATGGACGGGCTGGTGGGGCAGCCCCCCCTGCACCCCCGACCGTCCCCCCTCATTGCCCTGCGCCCACCCCCATCGCCCTGCCCCCGGCGGCGGCCTCGCGTGCGAGGGGGCTCCCTTCACCTCGGTGCCTCAGTTTCCCCAGCTGTAAAGTGGACGGGGCAGCCCAGTGGCCGAGAGGAGCCGGCTGTGGAGGCCCCCCCCACCCCACTTGTCCCCCAAGGTGGCCGCTGTCCGATGAGGATTGTTTTCTAAGTGCAATACTGGCCCGCTGGCTTCCCGCTGCCCCCATCGCGCTCACGCAATAACTGGCCCAGCCCCGTCACCTGGCGTCCCTCCAGCACCGGCACCGAGGGGCGGGCCGTGCTGGCTGCGCAGGGCGCGGGGGCGAGGCTGGGGTCCCGCCGCCGTGATGAATGTACTGACGAGCCGAGGCAGCAGTGCCCTCCCACGCCCCATTAACCCCACACCCCCCATTCCGCGCAATAAACGACAGCATTGGCGCCCAGCCTGCCCGCGTGTCGCTGCTTGGGTGCTCACCCTCCCTGAAGGCAGCCGCTCCGGTGGGTGGTAAAGAGCTTTATTTATTTACACAATGGCACCACGAGACGTCAGCTGAAGAAGAAGGTGGAATGCTTCACCCGCTCCAGGTCGAAGGCCCCTGGGGAGGAAGCAGAGCGGGGGGCATGAGCAGGGGGCAGTGAGACGGCCCGCAGTGAGCACCAGCCATGCCAGGCACCCCCACCATACCTGGCTTGGGCACTGCCAGCAGCGTCTCCCTCAGCTTGCTGTCGTCCAGACGCTGGGAGAGCTTCTGGGGCCTGGGTGGGGAAGCATGGCAGGATGAGGCTGAGGGCAGCGGGGAGGAGGTTCTGGGTGCCAGGTCGGGGGGCACCTCACCTGGAGCTGCAGCAGAACCGGCTGACGAGGAAGCTGGACAGTTCCTGCAGGATGGGCTGGCTGTGCAGGCGGACGAACTGCTCCCGGCACACCTGGCGGTGGGAGGTGGGGGGACAGGAGTGAGGGGCTCCCCAGGGATGATCAGGCAGGGTCTGGGCCCACCCATGGGTGCAATGAGGTGTGGATGGGGGGGGTACCTGGTTCATGATGGGGACATGAGCCGCATGGGTCCAGAAGCAGTCATGGACAGAGACGAAGGTCAGGCCCTCCCTGAGGCAGAGCAGAGGAGCTCCTGAGGCGAGGGGCGCCCACCTTCCTATGCTCAGCCCCCTCCACTTGAGGTCCAGGGAAGCCCACCCTCCTCCAAGCCTCCAACCCCCAGGCCTTGCCCCAAACAGGCCGTGCAAAGGTTCTCAAAAGCCTCTCTGTCCCACACCCGACACCGTCCAGGCTGCTACCAGCCTCAGCTTCAAGGGCAGCTGTGTTCTCTGCTGCTGCCGGGGCCACCACCCCACACATCACAGGTGTTCCCAGCCCCCATGGCTGGTGAATTCTGCTGGAATGACCTCCACATGCCACAGATCAAACCACGCACTGCAGTGCCCACATAGAAACGCCCAACAGGAAGGGGCAAAGCCATGCTCCACGGCCCATCAGGCCACAGAAACCCGGTGGAGGGGAGCTTACAGGGCCTGCACGTTTGAGGTGCCCCACTGTCCGTGGCACGTGGCACGCAGCACATGGCACAGCCTCAGAGCCTCTGCACAGGCCTCACAGACACAGCAGATCACTCCCCCAAGCCCCTGCCCTCCAGCACTATTCCCTACTGGACCTGGCCTTGCCAGCCACGCCCTGGTAGCCAGAACAGGCCACACCTCCCAGCCACGCCCACCTGTAGCAGTGTAGGGCCGTCAGCATCATGTGCGTGGAGTCCAGCGAGTGGATGAAGTTGGGGGGAAACCCGTTCCTCTGTTTCAGCTTGTTTGGCTTCCTGGGGATAGAATGGGGTCAGAATGCACCCCAGGCCTAGGGACCCCCTGACTGCCGTCTCCACTGTGGGTTCCCCCCCCAACTCCCCAGCCCAGGCCACCCCCCTCATTCAGTGGCCACTGTCTTCACTGTGGGTACCGTGATCTCCACAGCTTGGGCCCCTCCAAACACTGACCCATCTCCGCTGCAGGTGCCCTCCAAGCCCCCCAGCCTGGGCCCCCAACTCACAAGCTGCTGTCTGCATTGACAGAGTAGGAGACGCTCTGAAGCCCACGTCCGCCCTGCTAAAGGGGAAGGAAGGGGCCTGTGAGTCCCGCCCGAGGCCCAGCACAGCGGGGGGACGGCGTGAACACTCACCTTGACCTTTACTTCCTGGTGGTAAGGCTGGATGATGGGGATGCCCAGGGGTGTGACCCACTCCACCGCTGAGCCCATGTGGGAGATGAGGCGGGCGCTCTCGGTCAGCCAGTGCTGTGGAACACAGGCCATCTCAGGGCGGGGAACTCAGGCCGGGGCTACCATCCACCTGGTCAGGGAGCCCTGGTCAAGCAGGGACAGGAGGACAGGACACACCTGGATGGCCCGGGAGCCCGAGAACATCTCCTGCAGGCTCTTGAAGACCTGGCGGACGAGGTAGTGGGAGGCATCCCACAGGAACTCCTGCAGAGGGTGGTCAGCAGGAGAGGATCCCTCAGGCGTGGCCCATAGATGCCCTCCTCTCCCACTGCACAGAGCAACTGAGGCCCAGCACCCAGGGGTTGGGTCCTGATACTCAGGCAGTCAGCGAGACTCCGCAGCCCTAGCAGGCAGCCAGTGGTTTGGGGCAAAACCATCTGATTTTCAAGTGGCAGTGAAACCGTCAGATTTTTAAACAGCGATGAAATCAACACGGGACCTAATGCGGAGGCCTGGCGCACCTGGGGAAAGTCACTCATCTCCCGGAGGCGCTTCTCGATCTGCAGGCGCCCGCCAAAGCGGGTTACCCCGTACACCACGGTCATCACCGTCTGCTTCACCACCTTGCGGGTGACAAAGCCCTCCAGCACCTGCGCCACCCGCGAGCCACGCCTGGCGTCCTGCCTGCGGAAAACCTCCACCTGCATCGCAGGTGGGGAGCAGGTCAGCCCGGGGGCCACAGGGCCCCATCTGCCTGGGAACCCCCAGCCCCACCAGATCTCAGGACAGGCCAAGGCAGGGGTGTATGGGCAGAGACTCCGGGCCCACACCTCCGCCACACCAAGATGTCCCCAGGGGCAGGTAGGAGGGCACGCCCCACCTGCGCGGCCACGTCACTGTACACATCCTGCGGCACGTCTGAGGGCTCCAGGTTCACAGAGGCGGCGCCCACACTGTCCCGGCCCAGGGCAGCGTAATGCTGCAGGCCGTTGCAAGAGCCGTCCTGGGTGGGGGGTGGGGGTGGGAGGCGCAAACGGAACACTGAGGCTCAGGGACGTGTGGGGATCCCAGCCAAGCCCCCAGGTGAAGCCATTACTAGGGGCCTGCATGCTCCCGGGAGAGGTGGGTCGGCTGCCCTGTTAGAACCTCCCTGAGAAGACACCACAAGGAAGGTGAAATCTCACTGCCTCAAGTTGAGCCCCAGGCCCAGTGCACACGGCTTGGGGGCCTGACCCTCCGGCTCACCTGGTGGACAGGGAGGTGGGAGATGTAGGCGGCAGGGTCGGAGGTGCGCACAGCCTTCGCAATCTCCATACAGCAGGCCAGTGTCTGCCAGGGTTCCTCCGAGCCCATCCACCACTTCCGGCCCTGTGGGGAGAGGGGCGGAGGGGCAGTGAGGTCTGGGTGGAGTCCCTCAGCCTGCTGTGGGGGGGCTGTGGTATGGGGACGTGGGAACACGGGGGGGGGGGCTGGGAGACGCACATGTGAGAAGGGGGCACGGGACCCACGTGGGCAAGAGATGGGGGGGTGGCTGGATGAGTTCCCATAGCCACGGACGGAACGTGCGGGCTGCAGATGGACGGGGCCGCGGCAAGTGCGCCCGGGAAGGAGGGCAGGGGACACGGGACTAGGCCGAGTGTGTGGCGGGTGCCCGGGTGCCGCCCCTACCGTCATGGGATTGTCCGCCGAGTCCAGGATGTCGTCCATCACCTCCTCCGCGAAGGCGTGGCGCACCTGCAGCGGCTCGCGCTTCTTGAGCCCCGTGAGGTTGACCACGTGGATCTTGAGCCAGTCTAGGCCGTGCGGGCCAAGCGGGCAGCCCTGGGCAAACTCCAGCAGGGCCCGCGCCAGGTCGTTGCCCAGGTGGTTGAAGTGCGGTGGGCAGGGGTAGGTGCGGCCGCGGAAGTCCATGTTGTGTGGCAGCCAAAAGACGCAGTTCCGCAGGTGGTCCGCCAGCGAGAGGCGGTACAGTGCATCCGCGCGCAGGCTGTGCATCTCGCGGGACTCCTTCAGGGAGCGCGCCAGCTCTCGGCGCAGCTCGGCCTTGTCCACCAGCCCAGTGCTAGAAGGCAGGGGGGCCTCGTGCGGTGCAGCCACCTCGGACGGCGGGGCCGGCACGCTGAGCTTGGGGCAGCCCTTGTCCTGGAAGAGCTCCAGCACCAGGTCCAGCACACGCCCGTTGACACGCCAGGCACAGTTGCCCAGCTGGGTGAGCGTGTCCAGGGCACCGTGCAGCGCGGCCGGTGGGCAGTTTTCCAGCAGCCGCTGGTGGTGCATGGTGCCATCCACCGCACGCATCAGCTTGGTGGGGTTGAGCAGGAAGGCACCGGTGTGCGGTGAGGTCCAGGGCAGCGGCGGGCACAGCATGGGCACGTCCACCGCCTCGAAGGTCACTGTGGGCTCCGCGGCTGTCGCCAGCAGCTGCACATAGGCCGGGTGAGGCTTCAGGAAGCCGATCTGGGGTGGGACAGATGTACGGGTCAGGGCCCCAGTGCTGGAGCCTTGCTGCCACCACCCCTCAAACTTGGGTGAGAGAGGCCGGCTCCCCAGCCAACAGGAAACAGTGCGACTTCCCACAACAGAAGCCACCCCTGAAAACGGAGGGACAGCTGTGCAGACCCTCAGTGGGTCTTGAGTCCCGGGAGGTGCCGACAGCCGCAATGAGATGAAGACCCCGCTCAGGGGAGCCAACCCCCAAACTCAGGAGGGCACTGCGGCCTGGCACCGGCGGCCCGGAGAGCGCACGCACCTGATAGACGTTGCGGAAGGAGTACACGTGGTAGAGCAGGGGTACGAGACGGGAACTGTTGCGTGGCTTGGCCAGGTTGGATGGCATCTTCGTGGCCTGCACCAGGATCTCCGCCAGCAGCCTACCCAGCTCCACCTGCACCGGCAGGGGCCAGGGCTGCTCCTGCGGTGGTTCCGACACCCCGAGCGCCTCCCAGTACTGCCGCGGCAGGTAGGGCTCGGGCACCTGTGGGGCAGGGCGATCGGGCAAGCTGGGCACCGAGGCCTCCCAGCCAGACGCCCTGCCGCCTGTGCCTGCCCGCCACTGCCTGGGGCACTGTTAGCCCCAGCATAGAGAGGAAGAGGCTGAGGCTTGGGGATGAACCCAGCTGCCCCAGAGAGGGAGAGCACCCAGCCACCACAGCCCCTGTAGGAGGGGTGGGCTCACCTCAGTGTCGGCGGCCAGCAGGTGTAGGTACTGCCTGTAGTGCCTCT